TAGGATGGAAACTGTTTGAGGTCAAACCCCCACCCCCAAACTAAAGAAAACAAGTTTTTTATCCGACATCGATCTTTTGACGTCGTCCCTAAGGTTTTATGATGTATTAAACATCATCAGGGAGTGTATATAGATCAGAACAGTTTTGAAATTTAACAGGTACTCCAACTGAAATTAGCTGTACTACTACTCGAACAAGAGGTGAATAATGGAGTCAATGTTCGGTGATTTTTAGAATTTACCAGCATCGGATTCAGGCGATCAAGAGACTCCTCATTTGCACATTCTATTGAGATGCTCTTATTTGGAAGAACATTTCACCGTATAGGACGCGAATTGCACCCTTCGCTAAAGTCTTGCCGTATTTATTGAATTTTTATTTAGAACTTTCTTGAATCTTGAATAATTTGTCAACTTAACGAATCAGAAAATGCATCAATCAGTCAACGGGAAGAAACGTTCAAAATATAGTTGTCTCCATAACAACCGTCCTCGGACCTATCCTAATATTTTACCTATTGTTTTTTGTCTTGGAGAAAATGCCTCCGAAAAAATCATGAAAACTCGTAACTAACTTTTTGAATTAAAAATATAAATGTTTTATTACTGACAATGAAGAGTTAGTTCAAAAAATATTTTTACTCGGCATATTTTTTTCCTGAAATACAATCGAATGGTCCTGAGTCAAGCGCATTAGAATTACATTACACCCAGATCTCAAATAATTCCAAATGCTATTAATCGGGATTATAAGTTAATCCCACAGAATAGTCTATAAATAAAATAGCAAACAAACAGCATTTTATGTGTTTTTTTATTGTTTGATATGTAAACATCATATTTCATAGATAATCATATTTATAGATAAAATATATACGTGATACATACATGATAATATATATTTTAACAATGTGCATTATTTGTGAATACATCACACGTCTAGATGATGAATATTAATGAGCGCTGTTTTACTATGGGATGTCAGCATAGGGGAATACAAATGTAGTAATTGTGCATAATAATAAGCGTGTTATCAAAATATTGAGACTGGTCATAAATATATTATTTTCTGTTATTGTATCTAAAAAAGATTCATGAGGAATATAAATCTAGTACTTCTTTTGGCATGAAACCGTTGTTTTTTACAGTCATGCACCATATAAAGTCGGTACATTCAACGTTCTATCAACCGTTTTAACATATTAATTAATTAACTGAAATTAATTTTATGGTTTGTTATTTAAATCAATAATTGTGCATGACTGAATTAAGATGTCATATGCTTTTTGAATCTTGTGATATATTTTTAAGACGGCAATAACCTGTTTGAAAGGTTCATCTTGTAAACATTTATATTTATTTATAATTCAAATAACTCATGCCTCACGGTGACGACCCTCTCGCTTTAAAGCATATCATCATAGGATCATTACCCATATTGCAAAAATACACCATTCTTATTAAAAACTGTTAATTTGCAATACAATACAATACAGTTTAGAACACGCACAGAAGCCAAGAGTTACGTCCTCTTGGTGGATTATCTGCAAACATACGCGCGTTTTCCCTTTCTGCTTGTTTTGTGCTTTTATTGTTTTAGTTTTCCCTTGGAATTTGGGAGGATGAGGTTATCATGTGCCACAGCAGCCTCCATGTCACCCTTGGGCACAATGAATGCGCGGGTGAACACAGTGCTTTTCAGCGCTCCCCGTATTATTACAGGTTTGGCCTCACGACTTAGTCGGTTTTCAGTTGTATTGGACATGTCCTGGGTAAGACGTTAAAATTGCATCCGGTTGTGGAGTGTTTTGTACTTGGGAGAATGAGGTTACCCCTTGCCACAACTACCTCCAGGTCACCCTTGACAAGGTGTAGTACCTGTCAGCCTTGGGTGCCAACTTCCCACATAATAAGTTTGGTTGACGTCAGTATATAAGGGCATACGGTCATAAAAAGCCTTGCACCAACTCAGCCTCACGTGTGAGGTATCACCTATTAAAGGCAACGTTTACGTTTATTTAAATATGTATATATGTGTCCTGGGCAAGATTTTAAACTACATCCGGTTGTGGAGTCTATGGACGTAAGAGAATGAGGTTACCCTTTGCCACAACTACCTCCAGGTCACCCTTGGGCAAGGTGTAGCACCTGTGAGCCTTGGGTGCCAACTTCCCACATAACAAGTTTGGTTGACGTCAGTAAAAGCATACGGTCGTAAAACTCCTGCACAAACAGATCCGCATAGGTGGAAAATTTTTCATGTAAATATGTATATATTAGTTTCAGTTGTTCTTAGCATTTGGCAGGGGGGGTCGTAACCTCTTGTAGTGAGAACCAGTGTGACTGGCCTGCCAACGGGGTGCTAAGGATTTCATTGGAAAAGTTATCAGTTACATCCGTTAATGTAATTTCGTTTCACATACCCGTAAATCAAAAATCACAATACAATACAATACAATACAATTTCTTCAGATAAAATACATTACAAAGTACAAAAACGAAAATGGAGATATACATAACTATCTGGCGAGGACAAGAGAGGTAGTTCTAGTTCTACTCTAACCCTTGCATATTCAATGATAGCAGAAAAAAATTGATAAGAACAGTGAATTCATAAATTATATTAATGTATTGTTTAAGAGTACATAATACATAATGAGAAAAATTATATGAAATATGCTGGTATAAGTGAAATAAAAATACTGTAATTTGAGTAATAGAGAAATAATAAAATTAATGCTCAATTATTTAATGAAATTGCTTTAGGGTAAGCTTGAAGCGATTTCTTGAAGTTAATGTTTTAATAGAAATTGGAAGATCATTCCAGTGTTTTACTAATGAATATGTTAAACTGTTTTTAGTTGAGCTTAGTTTTACTTTTGGAATTTCAAGTTTGTCAGAAATAACTGAACGTGTCAAATAAGAGTGAAAGATTGAAGAGTCACAATGACCCAAAGAATGAGGAGCATAACGATCGCCCTTCAAGTCATAAATAAACATGCACGTTGGGAACTTGCATATTTTATGCACATCAAGAATGCCCAGTCTTTTAAAGAGTGGTGAGCTACTTGAACGGGGATTTGAAAAAGTGGCTAAGAGAATACATTTTTTCTGTAATTTTAAAATTGGATCTATAACGGTACTGAAAGTGTTGCCCCATATTTCAATACAATAGCTTATGTGTGGAAGAATGAGTGAATTATATAGTAATATTATAAGTGATTTGGGTAGATAGTGACGCAAATATGAAATGAGTCCAATCATTTTACTAATTTTTTAGCAATATTATTAATGTGAGGTCTCCAAGTAAGTGATCTGTCGAGAGTTACATCAAGTGAAGTGAATAGGAGAGTTATCAATATTTAATAAACTTTGCATAGTTGTCTACTTTTGAGTTGTTTTGAAAACCATAAAATTGGTTTTATCAAAACTATTCAATTCTGAATTAAGTAGGCCAATATCAATAGAATCATTTTCAGCGAAGTGCAACAGATTTGTGTCGTCAGCAAAAAGCTTTGATGATTTTTACAATATCATTGATATAAATTAAAAACAAAAGTGGTCTAAGGACGGACCCTTGTGGGACTCCACAAGAAATTACTTTATAATCAGATTTACATTTATTTAAATTAACATATTGCTGACGATCCTCTTAATAGGATTCAAACCAACTCAAAGTAGACCCTCTTATACCATAATAATGTAATTTAGACAATAATATGGTATGGTTAATGGTGTCAAAAGCCTTTCTGAGGTCTAGAAAAATACCAAATGTGATAAAACCGTCATCTATTTGTTTTGAAATCTCAGCAGTAAGGTCAGCTAAAGCTAATTTGGTGCTGTGATGCTTACGGAATCCATATTGGTTTTCATGAAGAATTTGGAATTTTTCTACAAAAGCACACATCTGTTTATTTACTAAAGATTCAAACAATTTGCTAACAATGGGTAACACTGATATCGACCTATAATTACAAGTACCTATCAAGGTAATCATTGAAGTTGGCATTACAGGTGATTTTAGATGCATAATTTGGACCAACATTAACAAAATACGAATTAAACTTCTCAGCAATATCCCTACCCTCTGTCACAAATTCATTTGGATTAGTACTCACTCTAAGTTTATGTGGGAAACGATCATTACATGACTGATTATTCCGCAATTTGTTTATAACCTGCCATGTTTTATTGATATTTCCAATAATATTTGCCAGCTTGCCAGCTTGCCACAAAAGTAAGACTTTTTTAACAATTTTGACAAAATATTACGATAAATTTTGTATTGAATAGAAATTGGTGAACTATCGTTTTCCAAAACGATACAAAGTATCAATGTTCGACATCGTTACATTATTAGCAACTTTCAAAGCTATTTCGTCAGTATCCTCGTTATCTGTTTCAGGGATGCCAGTAATAACAATATTTTCCCGTCTCGTATATTGATCCAAATCATTATAATTTCGCTCCGAACTTGAAACCTTTCTTTTTAATAGATCATTTTCAGCAATAAGTAGATGGTTAGTGTTTTGTATTTCCTCTAGTTTCTTTTTATTTTCTTCATAGACATCATTAACAAATTTCATAGATTTTAATAGCGTGCGTCAGATGGCCATAGCATGTCACATTTACAAACAAGCGTGAGCCTTTGCGTTTTTAGCGTGTATTGTTATCGTCGCTTGGGACTCAATTCCCGCGCGTGCGCAGGTGACGACCTCCCAATTTTAAAACATATCTTCATAGGACCATTACACATATTACAAAAATACACCATTCTTATTAAAAACTGTAAACAACAATTAATTTACATAGCGTGCTTCTATAAATGGAATTTATATAATGAAAGATAAATTCTGTTTCATCTGGATACAAATCCGTAGATCTAAAACAAGGAATGATGTTTATTAGAAAAGAAGATGAAGGATGGTATGGATGGATTATAGTTCTAGGAAGTCATCTTAATATGATGTTGATGATGGATGTACATATGGCATGAGTGTATTCCTGGTTGAGTTCCGAGAATATTTTCACGACGGAGCAGGAAAGACTGCCCTGGTCGCATCTTTTATGATGGGTGTGAGAGGTTTTTCTGGTAAAGATGTATATTTATTTATAATTTAATTAATTCATGCATCTCAGGCATTGTGTGTTAGATCTTCTGGAATAATTAATGGAGAGGAAAAATGTTTATGTAAATGTTATGACAAAAAATAGTAACAAAATGTTTATATTTTGATAACAAAATCAGGTCTTGTTAATTAATTACAAATGTGTACCCAGAAAAACAACATTTTTTCCCTCATTGTGCTTCCCCCGAAATGTGCATTTTAGACAGTAATTATGAACAATAACATGATAAGTGTGTGGGTGTGAACAGGTAGGGCGAATAGTTTGCAATCTGATAGGTACTGTTATAAAGCTCTATTTCTAATAATTATTGTTCAGCTGCTTTAGTATTGCTCTTCATGATCACACACCTAATATTGATTTGTCAGTAGTGTGCATCTATGCTCTATCTCGATTGGTGCATTTGCATAATTTGCATTATTCTTATATCTGTGTGTTATATTTTACAGCACCTTTGATCAGTATTTTGGATAATAAATTTGGTTCGAGACCATTAATTATTATCGGAGGGATACTGTCTACAATTGGACTATTTATGAGTTCATTTGTCAACAATGTTACTGTATTATTTCTAAGCTATGGTGTTCTATCAGGTAAGAATGGATATTGATGCAATATATTGTATTTATAATATGCAATAGTCATAAAAAGTGAAGAAACATTCACCTATTTACAGAATAAAACGTTCTGCTCAGCTATAACCGTCGTCAATAATATGAGAGAACTGCTGGACAGAAAGCTTGATGATAGGGAACGATATGAACTGGTACACTTAATTTGAGATAGGTCACGTGATTCAGCGGCTATATTAGTTCAAAGCAAAACCAGAATTGGTGAATTTAACATATTATTTGTGGTCTCAGCGACATACAAATTGTGTCATAACATCAGTGATATGTGCTCTACGTTTTGCACTAAAATTAATATTTTTTTAAATGGCATTAAAAATCTTTTAAATCCTTCAAAACCACAAATCCTAGTACTCTGTAATTTAGTACGTGTTTTAGTTTTTGGAAATTGGTAGTTTGGCGGCCATGCTGGATTTATGAAAACTCGGAAATGCCCTTTTTAACGTTTTGCACTATAATTAATTTTGTCTAAACAAAATGGCATTAAATGCTTTTTATCTTCTGCTTAAGAATCTACAGTTTGGTGTGTAACATGTATATAAAGAGATTAAAAGAGTTTGAAAATTTGGTGGAAATTCGTCGCGTGGTTTAAATTTAAGAATACTGTGTTGTTATTTATCATACATGGGTGGCTTCAGCGATGTGACACTTTTCATGTACCTGTAATACAGCTGTCATATGTGTGATATTTTTCTTACCCATGGTGTGAAATGTGTGCTGGGTGAAATTAGATTGTTAATGGCTGGGTGTTATGTAATGAATTGACACTGTTCTCCATGTCCCAGGTTCATGATTAATAATTGTAGTGCACAAGCAAATTCCAAGTTCTACTGGTCTAGTATATCGCCGAACTAATGGCTAACACAGTGAATAAGCTTGCCACCATGTATTGATTGCACCAGGAAGTCATCCTCACGCAAATGTGTTCTTCCACACTAATTGAACAAAAGTCCGTTTTCTGTATCACGACTCTTTATCCTTTATAAAGAATGTAGAATGATGATTAACTGAAATGTAACACAAACAAATCATTCAACACTCACCATGTTTGTAGACCTTCCTAGCCAATTAATTCCCAGTGAAACGGTTTGCAATAGCAAGATATTGATGGATCTCAAAGGCGTACATCTGTACCATACAGTTGTCTGAGTCGCACTGCCAACCCATCTGTTTTTAATCTCAGATAAGAACATTGACATTGACACTATGAATAACTTTTACCAATAACTCTGGGTGGCACTATTCGCCACATGGTTTTATTCAAGTTTACAGTAAATAATATATAGCATAGCATGCAGTAAATACAAAAAATTAAATACACAAAATGTTGATTTGGTCCTAACAATAATACACATGAAGAAGGTGACAGGTGAAGTTGTAGTGGTTGAAAAACATGTAATGTCTATAAACTACTGTTTTGATATTTGGTTACATTAGCCTATGAAATAAAGAAGAACTTGTGATATTGATTGGGCCTCAGCACCACGTAATACTATTGGTCACAATGTGAAAGTAAAAAAAATTAAGCAGTTTGTCTGATCAGAGATGCCATAGTAGTTTGAGGGTAAACATAAATTGGCTGTATATACTAAGCCATTTTAAATACAACAAGTCATTGAAAATGACACAGTCCCCATTAAGTTCTCGTTGTGCTCGTCATATTAAAGCGGAGGTGTTGTCGCGAGCGTGTCCTTGAAACTTGAGTTCCAAGTGGTGTATACAACAGAATATTAAATTTACATTAAAACACGTGTTTCGTGTTGTAGTAATATGGCCAAAATAAAAACAGGCGTTATTCGGCCATCTTTGATCTGATTATGAAACACTGATATGTATGATGTATGTGCCAAATACGAATGAAAATGATACATAAATTGTGGAAATACAGTAGTGAGGCCAAAAAGTCAGATAGCTATCAATCAGCCATCCTTGACCAGATTTTGAAACAAATTGTCATGGACATGCATCCTAACATGTATAAAGTACATGTATGTGCCAAATTTGAATGAAAACTGACAGAGCACGTCTAAGATACTGCATAAAAAAACAAAAACAAGATGCCTGCCAGTCGACCATCTTTGATCTAATTGCGAAATAAATTGTCATGGACATGGACCCTAACATGTATAATCCATGTACCAAGTTTGAATGACAACTGTCAAAGCATGTCCAAAATACAACATTCTCAAAAAACAAGATGGCTGCCAGTCAGCCATTTTGAATCAAATCGCTAAACCACTGCATGTGCATATGTCCCACGTAAGGTACTAGACACATGCAAAGAATGAACGAAATAGGTCCACAGGATTCTGAAATATGACGCTGGACAGACGGACACACGGACGGTCAGACTGACAGACTCAGGAACTCACGAACGGTCGGGACATGTATCCTAACATGTATGATCTATGTACTAAATTTGAATGAAAACTGACAAAGTATGTCCAAAATACGACATTTTCAAAAAACAAGATGGCTGCCAGTCGGCCATCTTTGATCCAATTGTTAAAATAAATCATCATGGACATGTATCCTAACATGTATAATCTATGTACCAAGTTTGAATGAAAACTGACAAAGCATGTCCAAAATACAACATTTTCAAAAAACAAGATGGCTGCCAGTCCGCCATTTTGAATAGAATCGCTAAACCACTGCATGTGCATATGTCCCACATAATGTACTAGGCACATGCAAAGAATGAACGAAATCGGTCCAAGGGATTCTGAGATATGACTCCAGACGGACGGACGGACGCACAGACGCACAGACAGACAGACGGACGGAGACCAAATTATAAGTCCCCGTTTTTGGACTTTGTGCGAACGGGGACTAATAATCAGGATGATAGTAGACAATGAAGTACTGCAGTCAAACATTGATCGGTCGAGTCAAGTTGAATACCCACAATCCTTCATGGTATACATTATCACACAGGAATTGGTTTCGGTTTTCTATATGGACCAAATGTTGTGATTGTAGGACAATATTTCCATAAACACCATGTCTTAGCCAATGGTGTCGTCTTCGCTGGTACTGCTACAGGATTAATGGCATTCCCTCCTCTATACCACATATTAATTGATACATACGGATGGAGGGGAGCAATGATTGTAATGGCTGGAATTAATATGAATATTGTTGTGTGTGGAATGTTAATGAGACCACCGCCAACCGAAGATGTGTACATCAGGCAAACACACAGGCCAGAATCAAAGTCTTGTGGGGAAGAATATTTGGAAGAAACGGAATACAAACAAATCATAGATGACTGTGAAACCAGTGACTATGAACTTCAAGAAGCCAATGAAATACAAGCTTTGTTGAATGGAAAAATATCAAAACCATACATCAACAAACTAAGTGACGTGCTAGGGTTGCAACTATTTAAAAAGTCCTGGTTCTGGATATTATGCATCTCAGGAACAATAAGTGGAATTGGTCATAATACAGCAATGATGCACACTGTGTCCAAAGCCGTGTCTGTGGGAATAGCCAAGCTGGACGCTGCATTTTTGATGACAATCATGGGAGCATGTTCATTAATTGGAAGAGTCATGCATGGTGTTTTTATTGATATTGGAAATATTTCTCCAGTGTTTATCACATCAGTGTCGTGGCTTGTATGTGGTATGCTGACATTGTTCATTACACTTGTTTCTAAAGATAACTATGTATTGTTTGCTATAATATCAGCAATATATGGAATATTCAGTGGCACAGCATTGTCTCTGCATGGTTCAGTCTGTATGAAAGACTGTCTTGGTGGTGAAGTTTTATCATCTTCAGTTGGATGGTATTTGGCCATTTCCAGTATTGGTTTTACAGCTGGACCACCAATTGGAGGTGAGTATACAGAAGAATCACACTGTACCAATGGAATTGAAAGTGCAATTAGATTGAAGCACAGTCAATTGGCGCACAAATGATAATAAAATAGATGGTATATTTACTATGTGGGGGCTGCCATCTTGAATGCAGCATGAAACTAAAGAAAGAGGCAAGTTGTGAAGCGCGTTTTTCAGATTCCTACAAATCAGGGAAAAAATACCAAACTTACACAGCCAAACAATTTGTTGGGTAATATTAAGCCAACCGCTTAACAAAATTCGGCTGAATTCATTATTTTTGTGTTGAAAAATCCCTTGAATAATTACACAGAGAACATAGAACACTTTCCTGGGGTATTTGAAACCAAGATTTTCATTCCAACTCAGCAGCCAATCAGTATTTTATTATCACTTGTGCGCCAGCTGACTGTGGATTGAGGTGTGGTGTGGTGTGGTGCAGTGCGGTGTGATGTGGTGTATTCACTAATGGGACCCAAACAGAGTGTAGTGTATGGTTGTGAAATCAACAGTGGTTGTAGTGGTGGCCATGGTGGTCGTCATCTACCATATAATATATTACTATATTGACCTTACATATTATGGATAACTATCCTGCTGCTGACCAACGCACATAGTTGTTCCCAAGAGTAATGATGGCGCTTGTCAATTACATTTGATTATCGATCATTAAAGTCTTTGAATGCAATAGTCCTGGACATGGTCAACTGTAATTTAGTTCCCTGGTCGAGATGCTGGACAATAGTTGCGTTCAGTGGGTGGTGGGTATTGTTTCCCTGATTTTCTAACTATAGTTTTGCCTCACAATTACATTGCTTTATCAACTATTACAATATAATACAGGGCTATATATTGTACACAACAAATATATTTACGCTACTGCTCGGTTAAAAATAAATATTTATAAATTCTCTCAAATTGAAGGGAATTAAGATATTTTACAATGCAAGTCAAACTGAAAAATGAACTCGAGAAATATTAAGGGACACTGACCATTATCAAGTTCAATTAAGAAAACATGATCGACCATGACTAATTCTACAACCATGGTCAACTCTCATTTATATATACTAATCGCACTTGTACATTTTAAAATTTGGTCCTCAACCGGAAATATTCAAATTCAGTTTTCAACCTACAGTGTACACGATTAGTGAATATTTCTAGTGGATCCGTGGCATACATGTTTTTTTCCCATTTATTACGACGACTTAGATGGATTGCCAGTTTTGCAATGGAGATTATGAACAAAACCAGATTTGCAGCTTTGCGAGACAGAAAGTCTGAAGCATTATGTGAAGGCAAAACTACAAACCATCAGTGCGGAATGGGCGTTTGAGTTTTAGTGAGCCAATTGATTGACTATATGAAGGAGATTGTTATTATTTGGACACTCATAAAATATATGTTGAAGTGAATCCTGATTGCTACATAGTGGGCATTTATTGTTTGTGTATTGTTTTATTCCCAGTCGTGTATGCTCCATGTAGGATACGCCATTGTAGGTCCCTTTCCAGTTTTGAAATAAGGGGAGCAATTAAAAGCTGTTCATAGACTACCCACCACCTGAAAAAAAATTGTATTTCCCTCCTGCTGACCAAATTCATCTTTCCCCTGCCCTCATTAAAAAAGAAACATTTTTTTGCCTACTCCCCTACCGCCAACTTGCCTTTCTTGAACTCCTGCTGAACAAATTTAACTTTCCTCATTAAAAAGAATACCAATTGGTGGCGTAATTCATCAAGTCATTGGCTTCTAAGGGCTCCTTGAATACATTAACTACTCAGCAGATCAGTGGGTGACGCGCATGTTCAGCTATTGATAGCACACGGCTGCCCACATTTAGCAGATGTTATTTCCCCCAATGCGTTTTTTATTATATCCTGTCCTAAAGGTTGTTTTGCCCACGATGCAATATTATGTATGTAAGTACCATCCCCACTAAGAAAAGATTCCCTGTTCTTGCATTTGTTTAGAAATCTGCCCTGCCCACTAGGGGAGGGGGGTACTGATATTTCCTGCCCCCTACAAAAAATAAAAAATATCCCTTGCCCTCAACAAAAATCCTTTGGAACAGCTTTTCTGATGAACAGCTCTATTGGCTGTACCTGATTGATATCTGTGAACCCAAGACTTGCGTGGTTATTATCGCTGTAAAGATACATTGTATGTAAGGTATGCATGGCTTTGGTGCTTGAAGCAACGTCAACAACATTTTGACCGCCTTAACAAGTGCGAGATGAAGTTTTTCAGCAGGAATCCAATGACGGCCTTGCCACAAAAAATTAACGAGTGAGCGTTGTATGTGACAAACGGTGTTAATGGGTGGAGACAATGAGTTCAGCCGGTACAGCAATTGATATGCAATAATGTGGTTTATGACATTCTGGCAGTAAAATGCGACCAGAATTCAATTTTGTTTTTTACTTTTTGAACCAACTCAACCCAATTTTTGTCTGCATAGTTCTTACACCTGGTAACTTAAGACCAGTGTTGTCCCATTTGATATTTAGTGGCAGGTCTGTGCGGCCATGCCATTCACCAACCCATATCCCTTTGGTTGTTTCTAAATAAAATGTTTGCGTTTGATGTAAGCCCAAAAGTTTGCAACCAGTAGTTCAGTCTGTTGAAATCTTGACTTTGAGTGATTAAAAGCTTTACGTCATTCCCATAAGCTGCAAGTTTACAATGTACTAACAGTACTAGTGTTGGTTTTACAAATACAAGACAGCTTGTCAAACTTAGCTTGAGTGAACATGAATGAACACACTTTCACACTACTACTTATGTAATATTATATTTCAGAATTATTATATGACTACACTTGTAACTACAATATGGCATTTGTATTGGCTGGCTGCACATTGATTGGATCAGCACTTCTCATCTTTATGCAAATTATCTACAAACGGTGGCAATCAAGTTAAGCTGTGGTGATGGTAAGGCAATCCATGAATGCAGATGAAGTAAATTTAATGCAACTTTGGAAAAATTACAATTTTGAAACTTAAAATATAAAGCAGTTCCCTACATGCCTTATGCTAAATAGAGCACTGCTCTGTATTCTTAAATTCGAAAACTAATAACCACCAAATTTTCACACTGTTAAGCAGTCTTTATATATATGCTTCATGTTAAATTGCAGTTTAATTGTATTTAATACTATTTAGGGAATAAAAATAGTTATAAGCAAAAAAATTCATGCAAAGTGAAATTGACAGAACATATATCGTTGATGCTATAAAACAAATTATGACATCACTGCGACCTCAGGAAGTATGATAAATGATGCACTTCCAGGTTTCCTTAAATCCATCATGGCTGTACTTAGTATGTACATGATGATGTATACCTAATTTCAGAATAATGTGATTGACCATTTTGTTTAGCAGTTTTCTCAAACGGCTTGACGAGAAAAAAGGTGAAAGAAAAATTTGAATGATAACATAAGGGCCTAAGCTCCACTGGTTTGGATCTCTTAATCATATATGCTTAAAAAACATGCACAAAAACAAAACAAAAACATGGACATATGTTTATGATATTAATATATCAAATACAATAAATCAAACTCACAAATAAATGTTTAATACTTCAAAGTTGTACATATAAAATACTGATATAAACCAAAGTAAAGATGTGTATATTTATCACATGTATAATGCAGTTGCATCCCCTCTGGACACCTCCCCCACCCTGAGTGGCAAATCTGTTTGGTCCTTGGAACTCCTTTGACCCCCCACC